ATTCAACGGGTGAGTACGATTGGTATCAAGTACCCAAACTCAACCTGCATCTAATCGTCCGAACCTGTAGAAGATTCGGAACTGGAGGAGGAGTCATCCTTCGACGTCGGGTGGCACTTTGGGCACAGTTTCCTATAAGACTCATTTGGCCTTTCAGGCGGACAAGTCGTTCTGGCGTAGCTCTTCGATGCGAAGGGCCATCCGCATCCCGTCCTCCATTGTGAAGGGGAATCTCTGAGCTTTACAATGGCTTGATGCCGAACTCCTGAACAAATGTTGTCAACCACCCAGATCTCTCCATTCGTCTGGGTGTCAAGAACGATCGAGATGCCTTCGAGTTGGTGACACTGGTCAGAAGCACCACGCGACAACTCGACGATCTGTTGCTTCAAAACTTCCTGGCTTTTCTTCTGGTTAGTGAGCTCGCGCACCAAAGTCAGCTCTGAGGTCCATGCTTCCTGCTGTGTTCACTGCCTGGCGGACTGCCGATTGGTCACTGACTTTGGTGCCTTGCAAGCCAGCTCTAGTGATGCGGTCCGCAAAGCCGTGGAGTGGTGACTCAGCAATGTATGTCAGCACAGCGTCTGATCCCCACCTGCCAATGAGTTGTATGGTGATAGGGTCAAGGCCATGGTAGGCAAGCGTCCTGGTTCCAGTGATTCTGAAACAATGCCCACTGACCGTCCAGGACCCATCTCTGGCCTTTGAGGCTGCACCTGTATTGGCAACTGCAACTCTGAGTGATGCAACCACTCCCGCTTTCGAACAGTAATCGCCTTCAGAGTTGGGAAACAGTGGACTGTCCGACTCAAGCATCTCCCCCCTGTCTCTGCGAAACTTCTCCAAGGCAGTCATGTGAGCCACCAACGTGTGGTACGGACACGGAAGTTCTGTGTCACAAACATAGGTCCAGGTCCTAGTGCTGGAGACTGGGAGGTTGAGCGACACCGCAGTTTCCGACAAGGTCACGTCCATTACATCGATGGCCGAGGCCTCCAGCTCACGCAGAAGAAACATAGTGGCACGCGTGATGAGAGCTTTCACGTGCACCGGCCCTTCAACATGAAATGGTCCGTCAGTCACCTTCAGTGTCTTCATCACGGCGGCAGATCAAAGGACTCAGACCTGGTCGGCCCAGCGAGCCCCCGGAGAACTGACTGGGCGCATTTCTTCGACACCACGTCCAGCCTATCCGTCCAGTCGTGCCCCGACATGATATGGAATTCCTTTGCTCTGCTCAAATAGTTCTTGAAAGATTTGTAGCCACCGTATTTGAACAAGGCCGAAACCCGGATGATCTTCTGCTCGTCAAGTGGCCAAGGTTCCGACTCATCACCGAACCACATCTTGTGGTATCTTGTCCAGGTCGCCAGCTGTGACTCTCTAGGAGCCCTACTGGAGGCAGCATGCATGTCGGTCACCAACTCATTCAAGATGTCTTGCTTCGTCTGGTGACCTTTGGCCACACCTTCATGCACAATTGCCATGGATGCTCGATCGATTCGACGAACTGCCGGCATGTCAGACATCTTCCGTTTGCCTCCCGCGGTGTCATTGCCCTGGGTGCCTGCTGAGATTCGAGAAGGGTTGGTGCCAGTGCCTGTCTCTGTGGTTCCAAAAGGTGACAGGTTCCCTTTCTTCAAATCTATGGGCGTCCCAGCGCGGACGGTCTTCAACCACCCTTCGATGTCATCCGAGGGTAGCGAGAATCCTCCCCTCGGGACACCGACCGCGGAGAGTCGAGGTCGCCTGAACATGTAAGTGGCTGCGGAAGCACGAAGACTGACTCACCCACCAAAGTGGGTGTCACGAACAACGAAGCGGCGTGCCAAGCGGATCGACGAACGAGCAAGCGACCGAAGCGCACGACCCGGAGCGAAGGGAACGACGACGGAGACCCAAACGACCAGGTTCCACTCCCCCAGCACAGCCATTGCACTTTTCACTTCACAAGGAGTTCGAAGGCCAGTTTTCGGCCAGTCTTTGGGACTTCCACCCGTCTCTTCGAGTTGGGTGTCTTGGCAGGCTGGCGGCGTCGAGGCATTTCCACCATGCCAACCGACGTGGTTGGGGCATCACAGCTTTGGCACCTGTGAGGATGGTGGGCAGATTGAACTGCTTCTGTGGATCATTGATCCGTGACAATGCGTCGCACACGGTGTTTGTCAGGCCAGGGATGTGTGTGACAAGCTGTGGCCTGCACGTGGCCCGTCCTAGGTCAAGCGCAAATTCACGCGCTATCTGGCTCAAGGCAGGCGAACTCGCCTTGAGGTTTGCAAACAAGGACAGGGCACCTAAATTATCATTACGAATCTGAAGGAACACCGGGAAGCGCTGCCAGTGTTCCGCCCATTGCCTAAGGGCAATGAGGCCGGCTAGTGCCTCCCACACTTGCTGTCCTTTACAATCACCAGCCTGCACTCCTAAAATGTCTTGATCGGCTTGCGAGATGCGAATTGCAAAGAACTCACGAAATTCCCCCTGAATTTGGAGGGCTTGCGTCCCAAGTGATCACAACGGTCGGGCCGGTTCTGCGGAAAGCTGCCAGCGTAAATTCACGTCTGATGCCAGCATGTTCACCTTTCAGAAAGGTGATCAGCCAACCAAACGCAGATTCGACCTGCTTTGTCCAAATGCATCCAGCTGGCGCATGTGTTTGTTCTGCATGCAGTGCTGTATAAAGCTGTTGAACAAAAGGCCTCCAAACAATGATCACAGACGCAACAGACATGCATTTGCCCATGATTGTCCTTAAGCTCTTCTTTGGCACCACGTTGCAATCAATTGCGTCCTGTAGCAACTGCAATATTTCTGCAACTTTGGCCTCTGTCACTTCAGCTATGATCATCTCTTGTTTGATGTGAAGCTGAACGCCGATCCACGTCAACCTGTTTGCCAGGGTGGCCTTGTGGAAGGCCAGCGGAAAGCCCATCACCGTCCAAGCTGCTGCGACCGTTACTGCCAAGCGTCTGATGCTCTGTTGAGTGCCTCTGATGATAACCAAGGGGTCGTCCACATATGTTTGCAACCTGAAGTCATTGCTCAAGCTCTGTATCCACCTCGACGCCAGTGCCATGATGGCTGCAAACGTCAACGGTGCCATCCTAGACCCCTGTGCAGTTCTTGTGAACATGTAAAACTTCTCTCGCAGCTTTGCACAAAAGAATCTCCTCTCGGTTGGGTGCAGTGGGACCAACCAGAATGCATCGACTATGTCGGCAATGAACAAGGTAACACTCTGTTCATCATCAGCGCAATCCAGCAGTTCCAGCGACGAGTTGACCGCATCTGTGATTCTGGGCAGTACACTTTTGTGTGTGCGACAAGAGGTCGTTGAAACCCCACTGCGCTTGCAATCCAGGATGATGCGGCTCTTGCTGATGTATTGGCCTGTGTCAGGGTTGTACTTCTGCTTCTTAAGGCATGCCAGTTTCGACAACACCGGTTTGTCACCCAGTGCTTCTTCAACTGCTCAAGGCTGTCAAAGCGCCGTAAGTACCCTTTGTTCCAGTAACCTTCCAGCGTTTTGAGTGCCTCTTCGTCATCTTCAACTCCCGAGTAGTTCTGGAAGCTGTCGAAGTCTGTGGCCAGGTCATGCAAGTCTCTCGGGTCCTCTTCATCTTCGACCCTGGGAAAGATGCCATCCAAGTTGTCCGACTGTTTGTTCAAGCCTGCCGGTGCACCTTGATACAACCATTTGACCACTCCAACCGCAGGGTCCCCTGCGACGCTTGCCCATGCCTCCAACAGGTGTGCTCGAATGACTGTTGAACAATGCTGATTGTCAACCGGCTCAACTGAAAGGTTAGTTGTCACTTGTCCTGCCGCGTTCCTGATCAACAGCCCCTTTATGTCCTGCCTCATCAAGCCAATCCTCTGCTCAGGGATGACAACTTCTTCAGGGTTCTGATGTTCAGCAATGTTTTGCCACAACTGACTCTCAGCTGCTGCATCCTCATCGAGATGTCTCTCAATGATGTTTCGCACTTGTACCCCAATGTAAGCCATCCTGTCAGTGACCCAATGCCGAACATTCCTGAGGCTGTTGCGATCATCCGACTGTTGCTTTTGTTGATCTGAATTCTCCGACAACTTCAAGGCCTTCTGCGGCTGTGGATCCCAGTTGCGTTGACCTGCAGGTCGATTGCTCTGTCCACCCGGAGTGTTTGCGGTCCTCTTGCCGATTGCTCCAGCCAGTGCCCTGGCTAAAGCCTTGTTCAAAATATGCTGCAGCCTGCCTAGTCAAGTACTCTCCATGTGGCTCCCTCAGTCTTCGCATCGATGGCCTCCATGAAGCTGCCGGGATTGCCCTCTGCCTGCCTTTCAGCGGTGGATGTGAAGCGAATATCCACTTTCCACTCCATGGCACTCTCCACCACTGCTTGGGGTGATTGCACAACACTGTGAACTCATCAAGCCCTTCAATGTTGCCTAACAAGTCAGTCAACTTCTCTGCTGGTGCTCCAAATCTGCATTGAGCGAAGGTGTACCTGTGGACTCCCTCTGTTGCGATCAATGTTTTGTATTCATCAAGCTTGAACATCGAAGTCTGACCTTCTCGCTCATGTGGTTGCTCCAGCAGCCAGGGCTTGTTGTCTGCATGTGCCCGTGTCGCGGCCTTGTGACCACGGAGGGCTAAAATGTTTCCCTCCCTGGCCTTCTGCTTGTCTTCGCCCGTCAGATGCTTCAGTCCGTAGGTTTCCGGGCCTGATGCTGCTCTCAACGGTTGCGGGCCTCCTTGTCCTCGCCTCGCAGGTGAAAAGGTGCTGCAAGGCGGTGAAATCATGTAGCCATCAAACATCATCAAATTCGATTCTAACTTCTCCCAAACATCTTGGTCCAGAAGGTCATGCAATTCATTGATCTCTCTGTCCACGTAGGTGGTGTCCAGCCCATGATCCGTGAGGAATTTCCCCAAACCATCGACCGGTCTGTGTGGACCACTGTAAAGGTAAAGTACTTTGCCACCAACACGCCTGGGTTCTGTAGCTGGCACGCTGGCGACTGAATTCTGCTCCGGGCCCATCGACTTTGCTGCATCAACGTCATGGCCCTCATGCACTGTGGCGGCAGTCTGTCAGTAGGGTGGCTTCTTGCCACCTTTGCCCTTCTTGCCGCCTCCTTTCTTGCCTCTGCCCTTCGCTACCCTCTTGAGAAACCCAGGCTCAGGCATCTCTGCATGCGGGCACTTGTTGGCTGCGTGAGAGCCCAAACATCGCTCACACTGATGCACTGAATCACAAGCGTGTCTGCACCAAATGCCTTGATCTGCATCTGTACATGTGCCCTTGTTGTAGTCTGCGCAAAGCTTGTAACCTGTTCTGTTGGTGAGATACTTGCCGTCCGACACGTTGTTGAACCTGCCCGTCCTGCTTGACTTGCGCCCTCTCGGATCAACTGTAGGTGGAGGTTCATTCGATGCCGATGCAGACTGGTTCGACGATGATGCCATCCTCCACGGTGCTGGTGTTGTCTCTCTGGGACGAGGTCCCGGTTGAGAGGTCTTGGCATCTCCATCCACCACTTCTGCTGTGTTGGTGATCTTCGTCAGGATAAGGAACGACGGGTCTGAAACTTCCTCACGCCAAAACTCGAGATCATCACATGCCTTCCCCCAGACGTAGCTTCATGGCCTGGCCGGATCGTACCCAGCTGGCGTCGGGGATCCTGATGCTTTCGTCTGGTCATACTCGGCCTGCGCAATCCTCTTGAGCCTCGGCATGTGTTCCAGCCTGCACCTGACATCACCCTGATATACAATGCTCCAAACTTTCTCACCATATTTGTCATGATATCGCTCGATGAGTGTCTTGTATCGTAGGAGGTTTCCTAAATCCACAGCGTCCAACATCACCAACACATTTTGCAAAACTGTATAGGATGCAATCCAATGTGTAATGTTTGCTGGACCATGGAACTCCTGGCTTCACTGTCCCATCTCGCCCCAGGGTCACGCCCGAGAGTTTGACCTTCTTCATGATGCGCATGCCGTAGGGGCCAAAGATGGCAAAATCACAGTATGGCACACTACCTTGGTCCAGCAGACGACGAATGGCTGTGATCTGTTCAGGCGTTGGTTCACTCTCCTTCGGTGGCCTTTCACCTTTTCCATAGACCACTTCAAACCTTGCAAACGCCTTCAAAATTTCTTTCTCCTCATCGAGCAAAATCTCTGTGTCATCGATCTGTGAGATCACGCTGCTAAGTTTAATCTTTCTGACTGAGGCAGCTGAGCTTGGGCTCAGGCCTGCAATGAGCCTGCACAGATGTCCTACCCACTTGGCTTGTCCGATCTCAGTCAATGTGGGTAGTCGGGCTGTGCCTCCAGCAGCCGGAACCTTCCAGCCCTTCACTGTCGTGTCATAGTCCGCCTCCGACATGATGCCAAGGGCTGCCGGTTTTGTGTCTACCTTGGCACCTAATAGTTGTGCAAGTGACCCTGCAACTGACTTGTCGTCCGCCAAGGTGTCCTCCAGGCCAGCGAAAATGAAAACCTCACGCAGCGTCAACATTTTCTTTCGCTCATCTTCCGACGGCTCCATGGATAGTCACTTCGAATCCTGATGGTAGCCGGATGCTCGACTTTCCAGTGTGGAACCACCTGCAAATCCTTCGGCAGCAGAACCAGATCGAGGTGATCACGATCACCAGCAGTGCAAGGAAGCACTCCAGGATATGGCTCGACCCCGCCGCCACCGTCACGCTACCCACCGGCTGCAATGCAGTGACGATGCCGGTGGGTGCCAAACTCATGCACCCTTCCCCGCCGCAATGACACCGTCGGTGCCAAAGAAGTGAAGGGTGCCCATCCTTGAGCCAAAATGGCAAGGATGGACACCTTTCACCCACCCAAGCCACCCAAAACGCGACACATGTTCCGTCCACAACGCGTTGTTACCTCCCACAAACGACAAGACTATCATTCCCTTGATTAATCACTTCATGCCAGAAGGCATCACCTTTCTCATCATCTGGCAAAAGCATAGAATGACAACTGTCTCTCTCTTCATCTTCGTGTTCAGTTGTCAAATGCTTCTCTGTCACCTTGGTGTTCATCCTCACTACTGCTTCCAAAGTGAGCATGCACACCGAAATGTACTGAATTCAAATTCACAAACCAAATTAGGTGTCGTTTCTTTAAGTAGCCTTGGTGTCTGGTTCATTTTACCGTTATTGTCACCACTCGCCCATTCCATCCCACCATTCGCTGACAATGGTCTTGATGTTGCACAGGATTAATTGATAATGTGACATTTACAAAATCTACATATTCTCGCCGACCATCTCAATAGATGACACTTTGGTGGTAACATTGAACAAAAGACTGGTGATAATGATGTGAACAATAACTAATTAATGCTTCAATATATCAATATATACATAATCACTGTAACTATATATATAGACACACACACACACGACAGTGTGTAAATTACCTGGATCGATTGTGCACCTTCCTTGGCGAAGCCACCACTGCGTACCAAAGCAGCATCCACCGCGGACTGGCCAGCTCGACTACCCGACTCAAGGGCTTGACCAATCAAACATTCACTGCAACTTGGCATAGCGGCGCCACAATCTGGCTTCATACATGTGTCATGTTTCCAAAAACAAATGTCACAGTCAGCAACACCCCATCTCATATGGAGCCAATTCTGTCTTTGTTGGGGTTTCTTTGGGAGCAGACCGATCTTGTTCAGCATCTAAAGCTCTTTCAGACCGAAACAATTTGCTCAGTTCATACTTAGACTCGGGTGAACTCGGCAGTTGTTCCAATGCATTGCAGTCAAATCAGTAAATGCTGTTGATTGTGATAGCTTCAGAGTGATAATTACTGAAAGGCTGAAAGGGTATCCCTCCCAGCTATATACATCCTTACAGAATCCTTACAATCATTGCATTCGGTCAAGCGTGCACAGCAGCTGGCCTCCAGCACTCCCGTCTCCACCATGGCGGCTCCTAGCACCTTGAGACGAAGTCACAGTTGTTGGATGTGACAAAGAAATGGACAGCAACCCAGTTAAAAGGAATGCGTCCTAGATGGAAAAATATATATGCGAGCTTTCGAGTTGTTTCATAGCTGTTCCCAAACGGTGACGAAGCTGCCTGACAGCCTCACATTGAATGAGGACTCAAGGTGCTTGAACGAATACTTCGCATGTTGAACACCAGAACTTTGCGCCTCCAAGTAAAAGTTGAGAGCACGATTCTGCTCGTGGATGTCTCCCTGCGGCAACGAAACGGGAGCATAAAACTACCACCATCATCTCTATCTGTTGATCCCAAATTCATTGGCAGTCTGTGGTTGTGGGAGGTTGTGGCTGTGTCGTCCAAGCTCTAGAGCTCCCAACCAATCTGTAGCCTGCACTCCGATGGTCAATCGTGACCATTCACATTGTCTGCCTGTTCTCAAACCACAAAACTGCCCCTAAGCCTGTGATCATCTTTTGATCCAATAGAAAGCAACATGCGCTTGTTTCCAAGGTGCTATGTCCATCCCTCCAAGCAAGAATCTGTTTTCGCTTCCGTGAACTCAGAACTCTGTCCAGCCTCGCTTCCGTCGCTGCGGTGGAAGGCCAAGTCTGGGGCTGTGAGGCCGCAAAGTGCCAGAAGGGCTACGCCTTCGAAGGAACGGAGTGGGGAGGGCCACGCCTTGGAGGGCCCACAGTTGGCCCAAAAAATCAATGCGTCAGCAAGTCAACAGCTGCTAGGCCCTAGGCACAGCAGGCACGTTCAAAACCAGGATTTTCTCAAACGTCTCCCCACATCAGGGCAGGAGTCGGAGGCTCCATGCGACAATTAAAGTCCTGCGAGTCCTCCAGTGTTCGTCTGAGATTCAGAAGAACACCCATTTTGCTTGCAACTACCTCAAAGGACCAAAACAATCTTGCACAAGCTGGTTGCATGCACATCTACATTGTGCTGGGTTCTGATTTCTGAGATGTCTGTGGACACCCCAAGTTCCAGTGCACAACCTACCGTTGCGTTCTTGCCTTGAATCTCACCAGTGTCATGCGGTAGGGAGCTGTCATCAGATCGCACTGCGAACAGGCCTCATGTGAATTTGGCCGGTCCAATGAGTCAGTGTGCTCTTATATCCGCTAACCAACTCCACAGTTCACATCTGAAGAGACCACCGCTCACGCGGGCTACCTGCTTTTTCTCTCCATGCACCTCGTAGTAGAGAGCAAAGGCAAAGGAGGTCGTGGTTCACAAACTCCATCAAGCCACCAGCTGCGAGATTGGTAAAGGGAATAAAACACAGCAAACAGAACACGGAGTTCAATTGTTGCTTGGATAACCAATGACGCGGTTGTCATTGTGTTCTCTAAAGAGATGGCCTGTGACCGAGGAGTAGCCAAGAGCCCTGAAGAGCACACACATGAGCCTCACGGCTTGGGAAGCCCCGAAAACCTTGGGAGAGACCACTATATTTCATATCCTGTTATCCCCTACTGTGGGTGTGAAATCGGCGTGGCTCAAAAAGAGGATCCACAAACCTTGGTCTGATTGTCTTTTTGAAATGAGTGCGAGGTGTATATACCCTGTCCTTGAGCCATACACAAATGATGAGTTGTTTATGAGTTCGCACAATCCTTGGAGGAGAATCTTGGTGTTGCCTCTTTGATGCAACAAGCCTGGAATGGATGGGCCATCCAAGGCCTCACTAGAGTACCATGCTGAGGCCACACTTCCTTGACCGCAACACATCTCAACTAGTCTTGACCCATCTCCCCGATCCAGCACTGCAAGAAAGTGGCCAGGCTGAAAGCTCTTGCAGCGCCTGCTGGCGCTCGTTGAAGCAAAAAATGTCTGTCCCAGAATCTTGTCAAGTATCCTTGATGATCAGTTTGCCCACCAAATCGTTGCTTAGTGCTTTCAAGCTAGCTTGAATAGGGACATACAAGGCATCGTTAGGCCATACTTCTTCACCACCTGCCTGCCGGTGTTCAATCGAGCCCCAGTATGCGCCGAAGTCATCCTCGCGAGTGAAAACTCAGGTGTTAAGATGTTGCGTCTGCCCAAGGGCCAAAGGACAAGTGGCTGTGGTGAACATGACTCGACTGGAGTTGCTACAGTGGTCCAGCACTTTGGTTGGTGCAGAGAGAGTTGGAAACTGTTCACAATGCCGAAGCGTTCGAAACATATCAAAACCATGATCATTGGCCTCAATAGGATCCAAGACAACAGGAAGCTCATCTGACCTCAGCACGCAACTGTAGGTAAGGAGTCTATCTCTATAGCAGGACCTGAACTAATTCTGCTGTGGAAGCCTGTTGCTTTGAGACAACTTGAAGCATCTGGTAATGCTTATCCATGGTCGATCTGTCTCTGGACTTGGAAGTGCCAGCATCAAGGGACCCTGCTCAAGAACTTTGCTTTCGAGCCGACCGAGCCCACAGTAGACCTGGCTGCTTAGTGTGAAAGGAATAAACAGAAAAAGAAATGGCATCTGCATCAGACTGACCATAGCGTTGCTTCGAGAAGGAGCAAAAGCGAAAGGAAAAGTCAAGCTCTCTTATGTGTTTTTGATTGTTGATTTTGCTTTAGTATGTGTTGCATGAATTCGACACGAAAATCAGCAAAATGAAGAAAATAATTGAGTCATTTAGTCCATTTCTCACTAAAGAATGACATGGGTCCAATGACCTGGCCAAAAACGGGGAACCTGTCTTGCACAGGTTTGCTTCTTCGCCTCTAGTGCCAGGAAGTCAATTTGATCAGACAGGTCCTCTCAGACAGATGCATTTGCACCAGGTTCAGAGACGCAGGATAACTCAAATCTCTGGAAAAGGTTCTGCGACAAAGGTTCTGCGACGCCCTCATCAAATCTCTGGAATGATAAGGAATCTAATGCTCTTGACTCTTCATGACACAAAGTGAAGAACGCTTCATGAAAATGTTTTGAACAAATGTCTGTGCATTTGCCACAAACAGCAGGTCATACCTCCAGGGTCTCTCTGACCCAATCGAAGCTGCAGGCCTCCCAGAAAGGAACCAAAGGCCAACACAGGTTGAGTGAGGTGCCAGGTTTCGGGTGCACCTCACATGGTTGCTTCGCAAACCCAAACAAAAAGGCGTTGTTCTTCACTGCTTGTAGTTGCTGCTGCCGTCAAAATACAATCAAGTAGGTGCACGATTCAGTTCTGTTCAGTATACATACGTGTATATATATATATATGTGTGTGTACATCTCACTGTCCACTGCGTCTTCCTGTCAAAGGTTGCTGGGCCCAGGGGGGCCTTGACAAACCAAGGAGTACAATCCAAGTTAATCTCACCATGTCCGGGGTTGGTGCTTCGGCACTCGGACTCAATGGCCTGGCCATCTGCCAAAGGCAAAAGCAAAGCAGCAAGAACCTGCAGCTGGTCCCAGCAGGTTTTTTCTGAAGCATGCCTGGGAGACCATCTAGAAGGAACCTCGTGTCGCTCAGTCCAAGTCGAGATCTTGCTAAGTTACTCGAAGTAATGCGCATGTTCTGTTCATTGCTCTGTCATGCTCTGTCTCTAGTTGCTCTGTCCATCAATCCTTTCACATTCACTCACTGCATACCCCAACGACTGCCAACAGTGGCACTGACCTACGTGAGAGTCGAAGAAAAACGTGGTTGGAAAAACGGAAAAAGCGTCCCTGACCTCACACCCCGCGGTGACCAGCCGTGCCAGGACTGTGGACAGCTCTGCACGTTCCTGCACAACTACGAACATGTTTGTGGGGAAAGGTCCCCGCACATCATCCGGTCTTGCGACTTCACGTAACAGTTGTTGTTAAGTGTTGTTCACTTTTTTCTACCCGCTCTCAAGAACACCTACAGTAGTTAAACCTGTATGTCAACCTGCTCAGAATTTGGTTCACGCATTATGTTTGCATAGACCTGCCACAATGATAGGATGCGGAAAAAACAACATTCCGGTTCCCAAAAAATCAAGGCCATGCTGGCCGTAACCCTTCGTTGCTCGGCGCGTTTGCGCTCCACCACATTGATACACTCCACCGCCAAGCCTTGGCAAATCTGAAGGAAACTAATGTGCAATAAACAGTTCGCACTATTCGCACTGCGGAAGTCAGAAGTCAGCAGCCCAAAAAATGTGATTTGTGTCCACAATTTTTTGTAAGGGAGTGCAAACCTCACAAGAGGAGAGAAGGTCTAGAAAAGGACAAGGTGCTTCGACAGGGAACACGAGGTTTGAGTTGTTTCGGCCTTGCTCTCTCCGCGGAAGAGTATACCAAGCCTGTGCTGTAACCACATGAGTTCTCTTATCCCGAATTTGGGCAATGCCTTAGACAACCAGAGAAAAACAGAAAAATTGTTTTAACCCACCAAAGCCCACCAAGTGTTCACCGTATGCATTGATAGCCGACATGGCTGAAATCATCTGAGCTGCCACAAAGAGATGGTATACTTGCCTCCGCAGGCCTAGCAAAGTGGCTCACACTGTCACACGTTGTGACGATGTCCAGATATTAAATATGTGTGTATAATATATATATATATATATTATATATATATGCACAGTATATATCCCGGCCGACAGTGAGCGTGTTCGCACTCGCCCGCTTCAGACTTCAGACAGTGAGAGTTTCTGCCCCTTGGGTGTAGAGTTTCCGGGTCTTTTGAAGACATGTGTGCGCTGAACGACACGCACGCAAGCATCTTGCCCGCCCAAATCGCCCTTGAGATGCACATTTGCCCACTCCCTTGAGATACACATCAGGATGCTCGACGAGCCCTCGGAAAAAAAAAGTCGGACAGCTCTGAAATCGAAATTCTGTTGTGTTCTATGTGAAAAAGACTAAAAATTGCACGGTAACAGCGCCCTGTGGTCGCACAAAATTTCAGAAAGGTCACGTCACAAAAACATGACGCATTTTCTTATGACTGTCTTAGGTAAATCCATCTGGATTTATGTGTATGTGTATATATATATATACCTGAAAAGGGAGGGGGCGAAAGCCAGCCCTCGTCGACACTCAGCGCAACGTGTTGCACTCAAGAAGCTCCAAGAAGCGATGTGAGAGTGTCCAACACGCCCGGTTACTGCAAAGACCCTCTGATAAGACCCTCTTCATTCGCAAGATTCTTGGTAGATGTTCGAAGATGCATCTGCCGCGTCCTGCTTTGTCCAATGTCCTTTTGCTAGAACCTGCTTGTCGGAGCAGGTGGCCAAAAGAGCAGCAACAAAACTGTTCCTCAAGGTCTGTCCTGGGGGAACTTGTTGCTAGAACCCTGTGTGTCCAGGGGTGCGTTTTTTGCTGCAAGACGGTCCCAAACAAAGCGCAGAAGGGCGCCAGCCCAGAAATGTGGTTTAAGTGCGTTGCCTCGGCTCTCTGCATTTAGATCACAGACTGTCTCTCCATACCTGGACCTGCATCAACAAAGTCCATGTAGATGATGGCCTGGGTGGGGGTGATGCTGTTTTTGCTAAAGCCATTGATCAGCTCGAAGCCCGATTTCCTTTTGGAAGTAAGCGTCAACGGTCGTTTGTGTTCACTGGCATTCAGGTAAACCAAGATAGCAACGGTGACATCCGCCTTAACCAAACGGAATATATCAAAGATATCACTGGAATTGAGATTCCCCGAGAACGTCGCAAAGAACCACAGAATGCAGCCAACGATAAAGAAATCCAAGCACTCAGAGGCTTGATAGGTAGCCTTCAGTATGCTGCATCGAACACAAGGCCAGACCTGTCGCGTCGACTCAGCTTGTTGCAGGCGAAGATACCACGTGCGACGGTTGGAGATCTGTTGATAGCGAATAGGCTATTAGAAGATGCAAAGAAACATGCTGACGTAGAATTTAGAATCCAATCTATGCCAACAGAGCAAGTTCGGTTTCTTTCATTTTCCGATGCTGCTTTTGCCTCGAGGGACAAAGCCCACTCCCAGAGGAACTTTCATCCTCGCCACAACCCCCGGGGTCGATGATAACCACGGTTCAAAGGTAAGTCCTATAGTATGGTGCTCCAAAAAGATCGCCCGTGTGGTAGCTAGCACCCTGGCGTCAGAGACATATGCTCTCTCAGGTGCTTTGGACCAGGTGAGTTGGATCCGATTACATTGGAATTGGATGATCGATCCTTCGACTGTTTGGAACAAGCCATCAGAGACTTTACCTCAGCTTCCTCCGGCATATGCCGTAGTTGACTGCAAGAGCCTCTACGACCTTCTCCAAAAGACGACTGTTCCCCAGTGTAGTGAGTATAGGACACTTCTTGAAGCACTGGTGATCAAGGATCGCCTAAGGGAAGGAATAATAATTAAATGGGTGCACTGTGCTGCCCAAATGGCAGACTCTTTAACGAAAGAAATGGACACCAGTATCCTTAGAACTTTCCTCAGGAATGGCAAGTGTTTCCTCAGGGATGTGGATGAGATTCTTAAACAGAGATCGGATCGTCGACTGCGTCAGACCTGGATGCAAAGCACCACCACCTCTCCAGGTGACCAAGCGCGCACCTTCTGTCAGGGATGTAATCTCCAAGATTACCAGACAGTTGTGCCTTCAACATGATGCAAAGACTCGTCAACCACCTCATCCGTGTGCGCCCTATGCATGATAGAGTACAATGGTACTGCGTTAATTCCAACGTTTAGTCCGTTTGAAAAGACAAAAGAGTTTTTTTAGGAGTGTGATTTCAGTGGCCAAACCTTGCAACCTGGACTTTGAAGGGTACGCTGTCACATGAGAGGTGACACTCATCCGAGTGTCATGTGTTCGTGCCCGTGAGAAGGGGCTCAAGTCAGGGGGCTTGGATGGTAGGCCGTGGACGGCCGTTCGCCCTTGGTCGTGGACGACCCTCGGAGGCTGCGGTGTGAGAAAGACGCGCCCGGGAGCGCTTGGTGGGTAGAAGTGATAGGTGAGGGAAGGGCGACGCTTCCAGTGTGGGGAATCTACAATGCCAGTATATATTTACCTGTATGTTAACTGTTACGAAAGCCAGCCAATAGGCTAGGCTGAAGTGCTAGATGGGTGAACGAAGTGAGTATTAGTGGGGGGGGTGGTCTCATGGATGGTCCTGTTGGCTATGGTGAGCCCAGAGCCTGCTTCAATATTGCGTGATACCATTCAGTGGGCAGGACGTCGAGTTGTGTGTATGGTTCTTCTAAAGACGGCAACCTGCAAGCAGGCATGTCGCCGCTATAAAGACCTCAACAAAGAAGACAATGTGTGGTATCAGCAAAGGGCCGTTTCTGTACTGCTCAGCTTTACAGACAAGCAGGCATATTTCGTTCCAGGAGAAGTGAACGCGTAGAGCACCATCTAAGGTGGGCCGAAATGCGGACTGGGCGCGAAGGCCACGTGTGGTCGATGGTGCCCCCTTCCAATCGTTTTGTCAAAGTTTTGGGGACGGAAGGGCGCCGGCAAAGGAGTGCTATCTTCTGGGATCTGGCCGGGTCTTCTCAAGCAGCTTAAAGAAAATACGTTGAAAGACTACGTTTGCTTTCCTGTAAAGACTACGTTTGCTTTCCTGTAAGGCAGAAAAGGGCACCTCTTAAAAGTTGGCTCTAGTGACAAAGCAGGACATGGCAGAGGCACCTTCGAGCACATTGATTGAATCTTGCGCTTGAGTTGAGTTTTTGCAGACTTTGTGCGGGCGAACACGGCCGACGCGTGAAGCGCAGGAGTTTGGTTGCTGCTTGAGATGAACTGTCGATGCAAATGTGGAAAGATTGTGGGTTTAGATGCACCCCCCTTTGCGCTTTGTTTGGCGGCCGTCTCGGGCAAAAAGAGGGCGCGAAGAGCGGGTTCTGGCGATAAGGCCCGTAACAAAGCGGGACATAGCAGATGTATCCTCGAACATTTTGACTTGGGTGTTGCCTTAGGATCTTGATGGTGGACTTTCCGTACAAACAGGCACGGGTCCAATGGAGATATTATGAAGCCAAGGCCGAGGAGGGCAGTCTTCAGCTCTTGGTACCACAACAGTGGTGCATTCACCAATCCGTATGCACTTTTGAGCAGCTCTAGGGTCTCATCATCCTTAAGATTCAGACGTTGCCTTAGTTCTGGAGGAGGCTCGACACCTAAGACCCTTGAGTCTTGACGGCTACCCCTCAAAAAGGCGGTGGAAATATCGAAAGATCTGACCTCCCACCTGTGACTTGAGATGACCTGGAGCGCTAGCATACGGGCGTCCTTTCCAACGTGGGGGAGTCACGGGGTAGACTGTCGATTGCGGGATCCTCAAATCCCAGAATGACGAGTCTGGCTTTAGCCTTACGGCTCAGTCCTGTTGAGGCCTCTATGTCATCGAGCGGTTTGCAAGTCAGAACCCATCTTGACCTGAGGAGTTGTCCCTCAGGTATCTTGTGGCGCAAAACGCGACGGACCGTGTCTGTCGCAAGCCATTGAGAGAGCTCTTTATCTTTGGCCTTCTCGAACTGAATGATCTCTTCTGGCGTTAAGTCTTTGATCTTTACTTCTACTCTCTGACGTTTCGCTGCAGAAGCCAGGAACAGTTCCTGTTCACGTTGGGATTTCCTGAGGCATTGCTTCACTTCGGCTTCAGTCAAGAGAATTTCACAGACTACCCAATTGGGATGCTCTTCTTCAGATATGTGATGAGTTTCGTGACTTCCTACGGAAGTCATTTTGGTTGGCTCGATGGCAAAAACAGACTGACCGGTCCATATCTCGGCAAGAGTTCTATGACTTTCCGGATTGTTTTCCCATGTTTCATGGATCTTGAACCAATCACCAGTTCTGTACTTTCCAGTTGTCCATCGGTCGGGAAGAATGGCGGCATGGGGTACAGGACACGATGGATCAGTACGAGGATTAAACAGTCGAATTCTTGGGATGTTGTGAACACGAATCAAAAAGTTCCCATGAATCTTCCATGTATCGAAATCAATTGAATCGACTGTGAGTTCATCATCACTTTCAGGTGGAATGGGAACCAGGGATGCGTCTGGCATCAGAGTTTCAGGATTATTTGGTGTTGTGGGAAGCTCCAAGTCTGGTTCTGTGTCAGGTTGAGGTGCAGTGCCTACCGAAGCTGGCCTTGGTCTCTCTCCTTCGGTTGGCTCGGACTGATTGACAGCAATCTGAGGGTCCGGCTGTCTGAGCGATGCACTGTCAGGACTTGGGTCCGAAACGGATTCGGTTGGTCTTTGACCTGACTGTTGAGACAAATCCTGATATTGAAACACCCCAGACCCTTGGATTGGCGACGAACCCAGTTCTTGAATGCTCCTAGCCACCAGTTGTTCATGATTAGATAGTGGTCGAACATGTTCAGGGGCAACTCGGATCAACCTGGTCATGTGAGATATTTTGCTCTACCATCAAAACTCTTGCGGGGCCATGCCACCTACCTTCTTCACTTTTGGAGTCCTTCCACACCATGACCCAGTCACCAATGGAAAAATTCAAACGATGGGGTCTTGAACGGGCGTGTTGGGCCCGTCGGA